GATCTAGGGTGTCAGCCTTAGAGAGTGAATTGACATTGCGCGATTTGGGATCTATAGGGTTCAGGTGCAGGGCTTTCTTGTTCTTCCTTCCCGCTACCCATCGACTGGCCGAGTCCGACCATCGTCACTTACGGTGCTGTGATCCCCCGTGAAGGCGATCCGTGGGGAGAGAATTTCCAAACCGAGCTTCACCCAAAAGCCTGAGCCCTTGAGTCCCCGTAACCCCCGCGTGAATTAGCCCTCAAGCCTTTAAAGCCAGGCCCCAAGCCCGACCCTTAAACTTCCTCAGACCCTCAAACTTCCTCAACGCTGAAGCCCTGACACTCACCCTTCAACCCCAACCCAAGCTAACACCTGAACCCTTTGTTTAACGCTCCGTCCTGAAGCTCCACCTCCTTGCGCTGTCTGACTCCAGCACTCCCCTACTCAGGATTTAGGGGTTACGTTGTTTATTCTACTCAAGATGATGTGTGGGGCTCCTCAAAATGAAGAAGGCTTCCGAGTTGAAGGTGAAGGGTTCGGTTGTTGTGGGACCTGGGTCGGGATCGAGCTTTCAGGACTCTAAACTCTATAAACCCCTGGCCACATCCTAAGGCCTATACCCAAGCCGTGGATTTTCGCGGGCACCTTAAGAGCAGAGCTTATAGGGCTTAAAGGCGAAGGGGGGGCAGAGGGTGCGCATGTCCTGGATGTCCTAAGCCCTCAGCCTTAAAACCTACCCCCTAAACTCTACACCCTCAGCTTTGGCCTGGCAGCCCTCCCACATGTCAACCCTGTCAAGGCCATCAGTGGCGCCAAGCTGCGGCTTTCCTCGGAGAAGTTCGGTGCTTGCAGGGGGCCCCAGAGAGATTTCAGGAAATTCTCAGGTTTTTGAGGGCCAGGTGCTTTCAAGCTTTTAGAAGTTGCCCTGAGAGCAGCAACCAGTGGTGCTGTTGCTGGGCTGGGCCCCAGATCCATGTCCCAAGGAGGAAGTCTTACACCAAGAAAGAACCCAGAAGCTCGCTATTTGCTGAATCATTCGGCCTTTTAGGGCCGGCAGGAGAATTGTGGGCATCGGGACTGTGGGCTGTCGGTCCCCGTTTGTTGCGAAATTGCTTGTGGAGGTTCAGGGGTTGGGGGCCTCTACTGCATGGACCGGTAGCAAGTGATTCATGATGTGATGAGAGGCACGGATGCTGTATTTCCAGAGTCGTGAACGCAGCCGGTTTAAAGCTGGCCTAAAAGGGCTTCATGGGCTTATATAGAGATTCATTCAGGAAGTCTTTTAAAATGCACTGATCGTTCGTTCTCTTTGCCAAGGCAGCTGCGCCTGAGCACACCCATGCAGAATGCAGTGCTGTATGCGTCGACCTGAGCTTTGCAGGGTGAAGCTGCTGCCTAGGAATTCGGCCTGGTGCCCCAAGCCCATAAGCCCCAAGCAACTCTCTTTGAAGGTGCGATTTGCAGTGGAGCTTGTGCAAACTAGGCCGGCGTCAACCCAAAGATCCTAAGCAGTGAAGAGCACTCCACGCGCACCCCCGAGCCGCCAAGAACGCTCACGACAGTCCTGCACTGCACGGGGAGCATGCGCTGGACCGAAGCGAGAGCCCCACATGACACCACAAGCTGCAAATTCCCCTAGAACAGACACACGAAGCGAACCCTGTCAAGATCACAAAAGGGTGCGAAGTACGCTCATGCCGTGTTTCCGTGACATGGAGCGAAGGAAGCTTCAAAAAGCAAATGCACAAGACCGAGGTGACGCGCGCGCGCGCGCGCGCGCGTGTGCCGAGGCTATGAAAAAGTCGCCTCCGAGTCCTGTGGCCATGCTCATGCTTAGGCGAGACCGCGATTTGAACCCAAAGCGAGTACCTCGCCTGGCCAAGAGACATGCTTGGGGCCGGGGCGCCGTGCGGATAGACACGTTATTCGAGCGAATAGTTACATATACATGTACAGCCTAGAGCCCCTAAACCCCAACGACCAAACAAGAAGAGAGCTCCAAGCAAGCTCATGACTCACGAGGCCGTTTGCCAAGCAGATCGCTGGCGCACGGCGCGGCACTTGGTGGGCAAGGCTGCCCAGGCGCCCAATCCATGGGTTTTATGCTTCATATGGCTTATGAGTGGTTCTCGAGCGGGGCTCAGGATTTAGGGCTTGCAGGGGGTGTGGTACACTGCATTTGCGTCTACACATCGACGCCTCTATAGTGATAACTGCGAGATGCTCTGCAGGCTCCCGAATTTCCCTTGAGAACCTTGCTTTGCTGGGAGGGCGGCATGGGCCCAAACACCGTGGGCTTCAACACGCTGATCTCGGGCCATGTCGGTGATGTCTGGCCCAAGGCCCTGGCAGGTTTCAGCCATTTTGGAGGGTTTTTGGGGTCTGCTGGCTTAGGGGGGTATGAGGTGCCTAAATCGCCAGTAAGAACCAGTAAGTTTTTGTGGCCATTTAATTTAGGAATTTGTTTGGCGCCCTGGGCCCTGAACCTGGTAAGCCCCATTATCTCCGGGCTCAAACCTGACTCTCTCCTTGTTGAGAATTTGGAGCCTGCAAGCCCCAGGCATTCCAACCCGAAGTCCTCGAACCCTGCACCCTATCATCCTACCGTACAGCCCAAAGAGCCTTGAACCCCGAAGCTCCTAAACACTGCAGATCTACAAACAACAAAGAGTTCCACAACCAATTCTTGAGCCCAAAGCCCTAAACCCCTAATCCCTGGACCCTAAACGCCCTATGTAAACCTGTAAACCTCCAAGGCCGCCAAAACGGCAAACAACCCTAAAAGCCCCAAGCCCCGTTGAGAAGCAGGCCGCTGCGATCTTCCAGGACACAGCCGCTCTCCAGGTGCAGCCAAGCCTGGCGACCCAGTGCAGGCTTATTACCAGGTCACTTCCGCCTCCCCCCTTCCCCCCCCTTCCCCCCCCCCACCCCTTATTGCGGTTTCGGGTGGGTCGGGTTCGAAGAAGCCCGGGGGCCTTCAGAGAGGTTTACTAGATGCTGCATTCGGCTTGGGAGTTTGCGTTTTGGGCTGTCGGGAGAGTTTTGTGGAGCTTCTCGGGCTGAAAGGCCGAAAACGTTGGGTTTTCGGGCTTGGGTTGGGCCCCCTGACCGGCGCAGATCACGGGGGACTAGGGCATCGAGTTATTCATGACGGTGATGCGACTTTGCGTGTGACATCTTGCGCCGCCGTGAAGTTGGGGCCTCATGCGAATGTGGGACGTAGGGGGAATGTAGGGGGGACCGTGGCTCAGCATGCAGATAAACAGTTAGCTTGGAAACTCCAGTCTTCAAGACATGGTGTTTAAGACCAGAAGAGAACAGTAGACTCGAAACCCCACACTCCAAACCCCAGACCCTCCGAAAGCCACAAATCCCTAAGAAGAAGCTACGCCATGCGCTTCCAGCTCTCCGGATTGCCTGCTTCCAAAGAATGCCGACACAGGTAGCCTATGAATCCTAGACCCTCATCCCCAAAAAATCGCCACAAAAATCGCCACAAACCTCTGAAGATGAATCCCGAACGCCCTAAAGTCCGGAAGACTATAGTCGCGAACACAGCTTGCACGGAGGCCCTAAAAATGCCAGGTTTCATGTCCTACGGGGCAGCGGTGGCGTCCCAGCAGGCCTTGGGGGCGGCTTCTTTGACGTTTTCGGTTTAGGGTGGGTTTCTGTTTGGCCTTTTCAACAGAAGAGTATACTATGACGCAATTATTGTCGCGAAAAGTGGCATCAACTAGCGCTAGTTGCTCGCGAAATGTACACAGGGGCATAAAATAAAAGGAATAAATCCGCACAAAAGAAGCAGCGTGAACGCATGTACCACGGCACAATAACAACAACCCAGCGGGGCTTTGTGGCAAAGTAAAATTGCTCGGAAAAAGGGGAATCCAGTAGCATAAGAACCGTAAAACGCATAATGGATCTACCCCATAAAGCCGATGGGCTGTCGACGAGTTGGCTTGATGTTGGGCCTGTGGGTTGTCTCCTTGCCACAAACTCCCCAAGCGCTTCCGAAGGTCAAGGCTCATAAGGTTGAAGGTTTTCAAGGCTTCTAAAGCAAAGCCCCGAAAAGGCTTTCGGTTTTAGGGAGGGGTGTTTATCGTTTGTTCGAGCTTGTTTTGGGTTTCGGGGTTGAGGGAATAGGGCTTGAGGTTGTTCTAGGGGCTTGAAGCCTTTGGGGTTTAAGGTTGAAAGTGAGGGTTCAGAGGACCTTGAGTGTTCAGGGTTAGGGCTTCAGGCTGTCAAGCCTTTGGGCGTTTGCCAGGTTTTTCGTTGAAGGGTGAGGGTTAGGGGGGACCTGAAGGGTTAAGGCTTCAGGTTTCCAGCGAATCCCCAGCCCCAAACCTCTGGTAGATCGGATCATGACTGCAAACCTCCCACGATCATTACCTACACATCTCGGGTTCTTATCCCTGCAAAGTCCTTCTGGGGAACCAAGCGCCCAAATATTGGCAAGAGCGCTGCCAGGCACATTGACACGCGCGGGTTGCTGCAACGAGCACTGCAAAGAAAGCATGGAGAAGAGTTTGCTATGGCGTGCAAGAATTCAGGGAATCGGGGGAATCAGAAACTTGGGCTAGTCTGTCCCTGTTGAGGCGGGGCTTCAATCTCAACATGGCTGTCTTCAAGCGTTTGCGCAAAGCTGCATAGTGGCAGTGGCCGGTGCGACACGCTGCGTCTCGAGTCTCGCGGATATGCGTTGCCAAGCCAACGTAAACACTCAGCGTAGCTGGTCCTCAACACGCAGTGGCCGTAGTCAGCAAAGCAGGTTAGACCCGCGTGGTCATTGCGATCTGCGTGAATCATTCGAAGCCCACTCTGACGCAATGCCGTCGCATGGTAACTGCGTGATGTTTCGATGTGGCATGAGATTTCTGGATGTCATTGCAGCAATAAACTGATTGTGACATTGAGGCTGTGAAAACAATCAGTATCACTACGAGGATACGAACTATACACTCATAGTCCCGACTCCATGCTTCATACCCGCTCAGGGCTCGCAGTGGCAATGGGCCCTGATGGACCAGCTCGCGCAGGAGCCTCCGCAAATACTTTTCCCCAAGCCTCATGCTATCCTTGCGCTGTGGTTCTTCAGGCAGCCCAACGCTCAAGTTTCTTGACTGCCCCTATCATCCAGATGCTTCCTGACCCTACTTATATTGCAAGCCCTATTCAAGCCCTCAGACCGTTTTCGCACCCGCGCTGCTCGGTGCCAGCGTTTGGCATTGGGCACTCGGGAAGAAACAAAAGCACGCTCCGGGGCATGATGCACCCGCAACTGCGAGCTCGCGGTGCTCATCAAACGTACTTCCGCCATGCAATACAGTTGAGATCACAATTCGTGAGCTTCTCTCGGCCAGTGGTTTCCTCAAAAAGCGGAGGCAGGAACGTGGTGAGATTGAAGTTCAGGCTTCCTCTGGGCTTAAAGCCCTGTTCGGGCATGCTTTCTATTTTGCCATGTGCGAAGTTTACCGGGTTTCCCGTGGCCTGGACCGTCATTTTTGTTTCCTTGCAGGGTTGAGCGTTTCATGTTCCCGGATCCAAGCAGGTGTGCGATATTTCAGAATCTCGCTCCCCTCCCTTGGCCGATGTACAAAGAGCTCCAGGACGGCTTCACGATGAATGAGGTGATCTACGTTTCGCTGATTTCCAGTTCCAATGCTGACTGGGTGAAGGTCTGGCCTTTGTGCTTTCGAGGGGCTGAGGTCCTTTACGCAAACGTGGGCGAATCGATGTGTCTTTCACTCCAGATGATAGAAAATTTACAAGGAGTAGGAATGAGAGCGACTTGACCGGGCCGTTTTTGGTGACCTGGTGACCCACTGAACGGTAAGATAAACGATAGATGATATGGAAGGGACAAGATTAGACAATGACGACTACTGTATGGGTAATTGAATTGTTTAACTTTGGCAACCTCAAGTCTAAACCCCGAACCCGAGACTGAGACCCAATCGAGAATCGAGGATAGACAGGCCAGACATCATTTATTGGCCATTTTAAATGCCTCGTACTTTCTTGCAAGGGGTCCTTTCTATAAAAGCTACCTATAGGGGAAGCCTTTGACGAGGCGCTGGGCACGGTTTATGCCGTGCGAAGTGCGGAGCTGCGCCCGAACGTGCTGGGCTCGAAGTGGGAGGAAGGGTTCAGGGCAGCGGTGTATACCGTAGGGTTTTGAAGGTCTTAGTAGACTTGTATATAGGGCTTACGATACAATTGCAGGGTGGGTACCTACAATTCACTTCAAACTAAGGATGGGTTGCACATCAGGGCATCAAAACTTGGTCCGCGGTTGGAAGTCCTATGCCAAGACGCGAAGTAGCTGCCTCAACAACGCGCAGGAGTTTGCTCCATTTGCTCGGGCCGAGGGCTTGCAGGTAAGACTGTCATCGATCGATGGAGCTTGCACTGGGAATGTTTTGGGCAGGTTGTGTGGCAGGAGGGTTGCGGGGCTTTTTCGGGCTAAGGAATTCGAGTACTATGCCACTATGTGCGTTTGACTACCCAAGAGTTGCAAGTACAATGCTGAGTGAGAGCTAGTAGTTGCTGTCAGTTTTCGGTAAGAGATGGGTTGGTCGAAGGGGTGTCAGAAGCATTTCCCGTGAATGCATTTTCCTCAAACTACTCTACATATGCTTGTAGATGTTGGCAGCGTGCGGGGCGCAGGGATTCCGTACAACGGACGACAGCGGTGACAGATCACACGCACGGATTGAAGTTTGCAAAACTTCTGCCAAACGAGCGCGGCACGACGCGTGGTGCTTGGGCATCGACAATAATATGCAACTGGCTCCTCGGAGCTCAAGTTTGGTTTGCACAAACGTGTTGGTAGTTTGGGATGGTTCCCTCTACAGATTTGCCAGCAAAAATCCCAGCACACTGAGCCCCAGAGCCCTCGACCCAAGAAGACCTCCTGGAGTTGATGAGCGGAGGGGTTCGTATCACTGTGTATCTGCCTTTTCGTGGATGTCTTCGGTTTGGGGTTCCTGTGCTTTTAATTTGACGTGCCGCCGATGTGCTGAGGTGGTTCTTCTCGGGTCCGCACTCACCTCTGGTGCGTCGGCCTGGGAGCGAACGCAGGATCGGCTCGAGATCCACTATGACTTATAAATTTTTGCCACTAACCCACTAAACCCCTAAACCTTAAACCTTCAACCCTAACCCCTAAATCCTGAGCCCTAATCACCTCGAAGCCTTTGGCTTCCTTGCTAGAGTACTGGGGCCCTTTTCAGGAGCTCCTGAAACGCTCCCTCACCTGGACGCTGCCAGTGGACGAAGCCTGCTTTGAGGCGCTTTGGGGGGGCTTTTGGGGTTCGAGAACCCAAGTTGCAGGCTTGAGACGAAAAAGCTGGCCATCATACTCCCAAGGAGGGGTCAGGGTTTAGGGGTGCCGTACATCCTCCAGTGCAAGCAGGATTTGGGGAACTCATAATCGCAGCCCCGCGTCCAAATGCACAAGCATTGTGGGGTACAGGGCTTTGGGATGTTTTAGTTGGGGAGAGTCTGGGGCACGAGGGTATTCTACTGCACCATTTAGGTTTTCCCACTAGAATCTAAAGAGGACACCGTCAGTTCATTTGGGATGAAGGACTTCAGTTAACAGAACCGATCCCACCTCCCAGGTCCTAAACCCCAAAACCCCAAAATCCCAACCATGAACTCCCCCCAGAACCAAGAAACCCCCCTGGACCCCAAAACTCAAAAAAGCCTGAGCGGCCTGTAAACCCTAAACCCGAAACACTAAACCCTAAAACCTGGCGGGTCCACAACAGACCCGCGCAAAACTGTGGCCCCACCAGCAAACCTGAGATGCAGGACTTAGGTCACCCCCTTAATTTTGAGAAACGACGCCTTTCTGCTCCCCGTGCGCCTAAAAGCAAGAACTTCCAGCCATTTCTGCCCAGAAGAAGGTTTAACCTTCTCGGAACGGATTAGACGATGTAAACCATGGACGTCGTCATGCTTGGGCCATGGATGCTCTCTTCTCATCAGAACAGAGTAGACCATGGACGTCATCATGCTTGGGCCATGAATACTCTCTTCCCAGAACGGATTAGACTATGGACGTCATCATGGTTGGGCCATGGATGCCTTCTTCTAACTATGGTGAAGCAAACATGTTATTTAGACCCAGGGCTGGGCAGAAGCGGATGCAAGCAAGACAGGGCTTAGTTTAGGACACGTCGAAAGTGCGAAGTAGTGCAAAAAACCCTACAAATACCAGTGCAGTCTACGGATGCCCCAAAAATTACTGGACAATTTTGGACAAAGATTGCAGGGATGAGGTGGTGGGCGAAACCCAGGAAACATCGGTATTTACAGGGGATTCTGAGGGCCACAGAGCTAAACTGCCGAAAACGCGTGGGTCTGTTCTGGCCCCGCCTAGCCCTAAACCCTAAACCCCATGACCCCAATACACCAGACGTGAGGCAGTGATGTTGGCCCAGGGCCGAGGCCGGCGTTGGGAGGCTGCTCTACAGAGCAAGGCAGGGCCGGTGACACTCCAGGTTTTGGGTTTAGGGTTGAGGGTTTAGGGTTTAGGGTTTCAAGGTTTAGGGTTTGAGGGTTTGGGGTTGAGAGGACCAGGCTTTAGGCGTTGAGGGTGTTGGGGGCTTCGGGTTTGGAAGTTGGAGGTTCGGGATTTGAGGCTTAGGGCAGTTCTTTGAATTTCTGGAGGCTGTCAATGGCACACTTTGAGGTTCAGAGCTTGTTCCTTGGCTTGTAAAGATGCCTAGGCCTAGTTCGTGTAAACGAGTCCCTGGCTGCATCTGCAAGACTCAGCCCCCCCCTCCCCCCGCTCACTCTCCCAGTTCGCCCCCAGCATCTGCAACAACCCTGACATTAACACTTGAAATGCAGAGGGGGACTAAAGAAGACTGGCTGACTGGCATGAAATAACAAGTTGCTGTGAATGTTGGAATGTTGAGGAGCGTATCGTTCTGGGATCCATTTCAGGAGACCTCAGTGCACTCTTCGAGGACGAAATAATTGGGGTCTACTGTTGATGTCTAGGGTTTTCTGAGACATGCTGGCTCAAAACGCGTTTACGTCCATGAGCGACTTGCCATGCACCCTAGTGATGGGGAGCTTCGTGACGATGACGATGCAATAGGCTTCAATGACTTGCTGTAAGAAATAAGGAGGCCGTGAAAGAAATGAGCCGACTCGACCTTCCTTGCAGAAGTGCAAACCCCACACATGAAAGTAGCCATAAGCCCCACCAGCAGCCCGCAACCCAGCACTTTAAAGTTACCCCCACATCTACGGCACTTGACTTGGTGGGGACCAGTTTTGCTTCCTCCGAGAGCCATGTCTGGAGGCGGCGCTACACGGTTAGGGTTTATAGGGTTTAGGGTTTAGGGTTTTTAGGGTTTTTAGGGTTTATAGGGTTTAGGATTTAGGGTTCTGAGTCCTCCTGTCTACTCGTAGTTTGGCCAAGCTCCGCTGTGGGGTTGGGGTACTGAAGGGAGTGGTGATAATATCAGGGATTGGGGATGAGTTTCAATGCATGGGTTTTTCATTGCCTTGAACGGTGAAGCCAAGGCCAAAGGGCTTGTTGTCTCGACAACTTCAAACCTTGAAGAGACCGAAGCCCTGAGAGCCCGGAAGAGGTCGAATTTCGCCTGACGATTTGGAGACCGTGTCGACTGCTGAGCTGATTTCTGAGCTCAAGCGGAGGCCCATACTTAACCCTCATCCGTATATTGCAGATGTCAGTAGCCTTATCTTCGCTCAGAGGCGTATATCGGCAAGGGCAGTAGTTGCACATTTGTCAGTTCAACAAGTAACCTGCTTTCCACCTTTCTTGTGTGTATTTGGCGCTTGGGGGAACATAAGTTTCTCGCGACCGGACAAATGCTAAGACAAACCATTTGACATTGCAGTGGTGGGAAATAGATGCCAATGCTATCGTTGTTTTGAACGGGCAGTTCAAGCGGTTTCGATCTGTTCTAAGGAGTTTTGGAACACGAGATGTTCGTGTTCCATGGTTCGGTGCATGTTGACTCTGAGCTTAAACCGCTCCAAGCAAGTGTGACGCAGCTCCTGCATAGGCATCACTTGCTAAATCGGAAGCCAGCCAACGTGGCAGTGGTGGGGCCACCATGTGTGGGAGTCTTGGCTTTTTCTGGACCAATTCCGGGTCAACGTCCACCCGATTGCTTTTAAGTTGTTTGAAGAATCTGTTGCCCACTTGGTTTAAGGTGGCTTTTGCGCCCCAAACCCTGCAGTTCTAGACCTTGCAGGACTGAACCGTAGCCTTAAACAAGTCCCCTGTCAGCTTGCTGCGGCTTTCCTGTGCTCATTATAATTAGGGTGTTCATCAAGGGCAACCATTGGATCGAACCCTGAGCACGTCAGCTAAAACCCTATAAAACCCAAACCCACTTAAACCGTAGCACCTAAATGCTAAAAGCTATATATGATACCTCGGACCTAAACCCTAGCAGCCGCCCACTTGGAGCCCTTGGGCCCCAAGGAAAGCACACCCAAGCAGATGCGTTGCGCCGGGCCTTCGGAATCTGCCGAATTTCCGTCCAGGAGCTACAAGGCGTCTCGGAGGGTTTGGGTGTCCAGCGTCAGGGATTGTAGGGTTCAGGGCTCACCCAGCCACCTCGGGCCTGAAACCTGGGGATTGGAGTCGGCGCCTACAACCCTGTAGCCAAGAAACCCTGAGTTGAGAATGATGTTTTAAAGGCTTGATTGTCCAATCCTTTAAACAACCACCTTGAGCGCCGGAAATCATGAGTCCTGAACCCGACGCCCCACGCCGCCGCTAGCAGGTTCGGCAGGCTCAGGTAGCGCAGACGATCGCGCCATGTAGCCTGGCATGGCAGGGTTTATACTTGGTGGTCTAGCTTCTTGCCTCGGGTCTGTTTCTCATGGTGTACTGTATAGGGTCATCGGGTGTTTGGGTAGGCCCCTGAGTATTCCTTGGTAGAGCCTGGAGGAGTTGTCCAGGGGTCGTTTGGGCATGCTCAACATGGATACGCTCCCAAAGAGCCATGAGGTCAGCTCTTTCCGAGCTCATCGCACGTCCACAATGCCGACGCGGCTTCGTGCTCGACGGCTTCCCCCGGACGGTGCCGCAGGCAAGGGATACTTCAGGATCGAATATAAGGTCCAATGGGTGTGCGGATTGCGTCTCCCAGTGTTTGATACACATGTTGGAGCCTCCCGGGATTATCATTGGGACAACAACAGGCCCCGATTGGGAGCTATGAAGCGCAGGGGCAAGAGGTTCCTTGAAATCTGGAAACCTGGAGACTCTCGCTGGAGAGCAGCTGCAAACAATTTCGAGAAAGAACGGTAGGCTCTGGTGGGTTTAGTAGGGGTTTCGGGCTCGAGGTTGGCTTTCAGACTTTCAGGGCCGGGCAATGCTATGCTTTGAGACGAAACCGCCGATAAGCCTATTTTCCGGCCGTTTCAGGAGCCAAGAGACCCCAAAAGCCACATTCCCACCCCCCAAATGTAGAGACTTCGAGAGGCTCTTGAATGCCGCAGGCTTTCTTCAGCCACTCTTGCATGCAACAGCTTCGTTCAGGTATGTAAACATCGCTGTTTGCCTGCAGCAGCTGCACCTGATAAGCCCCGCCAAGTGCTCACGCTTGGAAATGCTAACCTAGGAGCCCTAAACCCTGCCAAGCCCCACCCCCCCTAGAAGCCCAACATGAGCCCAAAAGCCCCAAACACAACGCTGAAGCGCGAGGCTTCCCGCCTCCAAGACGAGCTGGCCAAGAAGGACAAGGTGCAATCATGGATTGCAGACTTTTTCATATTTCATATATTGAGGCCTTTTCAGGCCTGTGAGGGTTCAGGGCTTAGTGCTTTTAGAAATAGCTTGGGAGTGCTTCTGGCATGCTCAAGGAGTGGTCTTGGAGTTCGCTTGGGGTGCCCCTTGTGGCATCAACGGGAGTTTCGGACCATTGTGGGGCTTTAGGTTGGTTTTTTTTGTTTTTGTGGTGCGAGGTTCGGGTTTGCTTAACAGCAAAGCTTCAGAAGCTTCCCCCTGCTCCCCCGCTTTCCCCGACACCATGCGCCAGGCGCTGGATGCGGTGATTTTCCTCGATGCACCGGAGGCAGAGCGAAGGGCGGACATGCGGAGTTCAAAGCTTGTTCGTTGGGATTCTGGAGGCCAGGGCTGTGTTCAGACTCGGGCTCATACAGTTTGAGGTTGGCTGTTTAGGGTTTAGAGTTTGGGGACCATCATGCTTCTTGGAGAAAGTGGTCCCCCTGAATAGAGTGCCGCTGCACAGGATGAAAAAACGATGGGCTACTTATGATCTTAAAACGTTCGCTGTCCAGGAGTTGCCTGCAAACGACTCGAAAAACCAAAAACACCCGACTAACTTTCCTATGCTGCTTCCTCCCCCGTGCATGCCCCAGGACGTCTTGTTGGAGCGATGTCATGGCCGTCTGGTGCATCCCAGCTCAGGAGCAAATTCGGGATGTCCTTTTTTTTTTGGGAGGGGGGGGGGGGGGGGGGGGGGTTGGGGGGCACTACTCAAATGATGAGTTTTCCCGGCTGTCGAATTTCCATGGTCCCAGAAGACCCAGAAGATGTAGAATTGTGCGTGGAGGGTTCTGGCTGGCGGGGTTTGGGCCAAAGAAAGGCTTTTGGGTTGAGGGTTGCACACGGTGTGCGGCTGGAGAGCTTCAAGGGCCCTGCAACAGCGAAGGGTTTCGGCGAAGACGTAATTGGACCAGGACGACTTTATCATGATCAGCATCGGCCACCTTATGAAAAGGCCTGGATGAGCCTGTGATCTGTTTGGGGCCCAGCAGGGCAAAGGGAGACTTCACACAAATCCAGTGTTGCTCAAACCATCCAACTTCACCCCCAGCCCAAAGAACGAAAAGAACCCTACACCCTCATCTCTGAAGCCTAAATCCCATAGAATCCTGAACGAGTGAACTCCCAAACCGATGAACCCCCCTAACCCCCCCTAACGCCCCCTAACCCCCCCCCCCCCCAAAAGAACCCCCCCTAAACCCCCTAGGCCCTAAGTATCCGTGGCAGGGCCTCGACGACTTCACGGGAGAGGCGCTGGTGCGCCCAGACGTCGAGGACAGCCATGTTAGAGCCGACATGCACTTCGGACCCCGTGAAAAAGAGGGTAAATGCGCAAATCAATATGAAGAAATAAATTATTTTGCTTCGAACATCCCCACCCTCTGTTGGTAGAGATACTCGGGGGTTGGGCACTCCAGGGACACTGGGACACTCTGGGAGACACGGGGCTGGGCGGGGACACTCTAGGGTTGGGCTCTGCACAGCAGCACCTCACAATCTGCGCCCACCAAAGTGATCCGCTCGCACGTAGATGTCATGCAGTCGGGTGACAAAGGAACCCTTCAGATGACACGACGCCATCCCTACTTCTGAGGCCGGCGCGAACAGAAAACAACTTCAGTGCAACACTTCAAGCGTTGCGGACAGGCCTAAGGACTCCCGACAAGTGAGCGCCCCTATAGCCTGTCACTACTGGCCATCTAAAAGCAGCGACAAGCATGACTGGAGGGAAGCAAAGACCTGGAGACCCAAGACTGCGGGGAAGGCCAGCAAATGGTCAGGAAGCGGCTGTTGCTGATAAAGCGCGAGGGAAATGCCCAGGCACGTCCATGAACTGCAGAGGGTTGGGCAATTCAGGGAGGGTTGGGCTCTGGGGTTGGGCCTCTGGGGTTGGGCACTCCAGGGACACTTTGGGGTTGGGCACTCCAGGGATGAGTGAGGAGTAGACCGGGCGAGGAGAAGAGTTCCGGGCGAGGAGAAAAGTTCCGGGCAAGGAGAAGAGTTGAGTGTAAAATCTAACAACTGCACACCGAGGGTGGGGAATAAATAACATAAATAAATATAAATATATAAATATAAATAATACGTATGTATACATATATATATGTATATATATATATATATATTGTGTAGCACATTTGCGTGCATAATGTTGGGCAACATATTGATTGAGATCAGCCTAGGCTCTGCTTAGTTCCAACGGAGTCTGCATGCAACTACACATCAAACATAGTGCGTCGCATCGTCTCCGGGGGGAATTCAGATTTGTTCCCCCAGCTTTCGCTGTGCTGTAATGCAGCAGGAGCCCAAGTTGCAGGAAGAGATCCAGCGATTTCAGCAGGACCCGACGGGGACACCCCCGAAAGCCTGAAAATGTCAGGGGGCCCTACTGGCTTATTCAGGGTTACTAGGGTCCGTCTGCAGCCTTGTGAGGGGCGGGATCCGTGATCATGAGCTTGACTAGCAAAACGGGATCCTTTTTCTCTGTGACTACTGCGGCACATATAAATGCTCAGCTCAGGATGGCACGATGCTGCGCCAGTTCTTTGCCCGCGCGGGCATCGTGCGTGCTGTGGACGCTTCTGGCGGCCTGGAGCAGGCAAGGCATTCTAGAATCGAGAGTCTATTATGTTTTGCCCTGTGTGATCCATCACAAGACGCCGTGACTGCAAGGAAGGTCAGCAAGTAACCGCGGCTTTGCCATCAACGCGAAATCGCTCTTTGCGAACTCCAAGCCTCAGAAGCCCTAAACCCCACCTTGCCAAGTGCACACGCTAACCCCCCTCCCCCACCCAACAGAAACAGAAAACCAATCAAACGCTACCACCATCAATTAGCCCCGAATCCTAAGCTTAAGTCCGCTCACAGCAGGTGGGCACTGCTTGCATTGAGTCCGTCTCACAGCCGCCGGCAGAGGGTTCATGAACCCTGCGCAATTGCGGATCTCGGTTGTTCATGTCATAAGATTCGGAGATGTGTGCTAGTTTCAGGCCAACTATATTGGAGCTGAGTTACTCGGAATGGCTCTGGTAAATGGGCGAATTTTGGAACCCCGTTGCCCGAACACCCTGAACTCCTAACCGAGGCCCAGGTTCTGGGTAGAGAGCCAACTCTCTTCGGTCGGTGGCATCGTGAACCCTTAAGCCTCAAAACAGCTGTGCAACAAAGTAAGCCTGGGAGTCATGGAGAAACAAACGGCTTGATTTAGAATGCCGAGACCCAATCGACGCCCCGACCGAGGCTTCCTTGTCTTGCGCGTATGGCAAAAGCGGGCGCAGGGTCCCCCCCGAAGCCAAACCCCGTCAATGTAAACTCTGAACCCCACAGGCCCTGATTTCTGGATGGATGCTTTCCGAATATTCCCGAATCTCGGCCCTCAAGAAAGCCTAGGCCGGCACTCCAAATAGCTCACCCTTACCCCCTAACTTCCGAATCTTATAGGGGTCCGCCTGAATTTCTTCCTCGCTTGGTGGTGCAGACTTCTGAGTTTGAGTTGGGGGGTCGGGTTTAGGGCTTCGGGTTTAGAGAACTACTGTAGACATCAACCTCCAAATGCATACTTGTCAAGGCCTTTGATCTGTGGTCCCTCTTGGTACTCTGAATAAGCGGCCCATATCGTAAGAGGGAGCCGACGACAACTTCGAAGAATCATGTTCCAAAAAGTTGCCTTGGTGGGCATCTCACTCTCCCACTGCCGAGAACGACAACGCCATGCATTAGGGCACCATGCCTTCCCAAGCGTCCCAAAGGTTGCAAACAGAATCCAGAATCACAATCGGGTTTCCCTGAACACCGCGGCCTAACATCTTGGCAAGAGACATGTAGACAGTAGTTCCTTTTCTGGAGTCAGAGAGGCACTGGAAGAACGTTCGTACCGCTGAGGGCTTCTCACACAAGCATTGCCTTCATAAGCATTCGCCTGGCGCGAGTGTGGGGCTCCTGTAGGTGCAGTCTCCATGTTTTATGGGTTAGCTTCCCTTACCAACCTGAGCTGGGAAACCGGCCACATCCATTTGCCTCCAAGCGCTGGCCTCCAAACCTCCAACACCTAAAGCCGAGCCCGAGAATTGAGACCAGATAAGCCAAGCTCTGACACAGGCGTCGTCTTCTGCCAACTTCAAGAAGAAGGTGGGAACCTCTTCGGGTTCGAGAATGTTTTGGGGCATAAGCCTTGGGACCTAGGGCTTTGGGGGTCTGAGGCTTTAAACTTCTGTCAAATGTAAAGTTTCGGTTTCGGGGCTTTAGGTCTGGCTGCGCTCCATAGTTAGACGAGTTGCCGAAATGCTCACTCTGAGAATGTGATCTCCAGCACTTGCCCATCGCCTAGCTGTTCCACTCTCTGTGTGTGTGGGTGTGTGCATGATCTCAATAGTCAATAGTCATGGAAGTCGTCCATGCGCTATTTATCTTCGTCCCCTGGGCGGAAAAGTAAGAGCAATGCCGGCAATGTAGAAATTGAACTGCTGCTTCTCTGCGCTTTCCAGCGTTGGGTCGGGCACTTGGGGCAGGCCTTGCGTCACAGCTCATGTGCCGTTGAACCTTGTGACTTGTCTCATCCGACACCGCGCTGTCTCGAGCTTGCAAACCAACAGCCACTACTTTGCACGTAGCGGATCTTCGACTCATTCAGTCCTTGTCATTCGAGGCTGTCGTATGTGTTGTTTTGTTGCTGCTGTCGGGTGGCACTTCATGCCCTCGTTCCACGCTGAACCTGGTTTGCATCGCTATCGCAATAGGTGCGGGCGGCGAACGCGCTGGCGGCCGTGTGCCGGTGGGGTGACAGGCATGATTTGCAACTTCAGGGCGTGGGCAGATCTCCAGCTCTGGAGCCCATGAGTAACGACTGTTAGTCTTAGTATACGGGGGAACATCCCAAGTAAGAGTTTATTCCCAGGGCACCCTGACAGTTTTTCACGCTCTTGCAGGTGGGCGATGTCCTTGGAGCAGATCCGAGCGCTTAGCCTGCCATGGACTTAGACACCTGTTTGCAGTTTCAGGGTTGAGGTGTGTGGTTTCAGGGCTCTTTTCGTTTTTAATTTTTTTTTTTTTTTGGGGGGGGGGGGGGGGGGGGGGGAGGGGGGGTTAGCACTGTTCTAGTGTTTTGTCGGGTTTCCAGTTTTTTTCGGGCTTGGGGTTCACTCAGCCACGGTGCCCAACATATGAAAACTCGCGAATGACTCGCAATCTTCCCAAACAAACTTGCAGTTTGCGGGCCAGGCCAGAATCACAGGTCAAGCCGTGTCTTCCCCACATCCCTCCGGGCGCTCGACGCAATCAATCCACTCTCATGTCGTACCAACTTTCCGTAGCGGCTTCAGCCACACGAAGACTCATGCAGAAGACGAGCTTGACGATTGAAGCTTGCTTCTAAAATAGAGCTGAGATACCGGAAGTGCTTTCAAAAAGGGTCCCTGAAAGTGCCTGCGCGCTTCGGGTTCAAGAGCCGAGACAAAGTGATGCTAGTGCTCCGGGTGAACAACCGAAACTGGTGGTGGTTGGGAAGCCCTGCTTCAGAAACTCAGAAACCAACAGAGACGTATGATCCCCGCCCCGAATTCCGCAACACTTTGCCAACTCAGAGACTATGCCGACTATGGCCCCTCTCCTGGTCCTGCGTGTTTCCGAATCATGACACAGAAGCTCATGATAGCTGGCATTTTTTGAAGATGTGAAAACTTTTTTGGACTGTTTCTGAAATAGTTAGGCTTCCGAATCACGGTTTCAGAAGAAGGGTTTGTTTCCGAACCAGACTCCAGCCTGAGATGTGACACGAAAGCACAACAGAGTTTTCACCGAGCCATCATCATCAACACCACTTCAGGAGATGCTTTCCAACACTGCTCAGGGCCTGCACCGTATTTAATTTGGGTTTAGCATCTCGCGCTTAAGGATGCTCAGTTTGGATCCAGTAGTGGCAGGCCGGTGAGGCACCAGGCTAGAAATGGTGACAGCTTCTTGCGTTGGACTTTCGAGACATGTCTTGTTTGGTGTCTTCGATCGCTATTTTGGCAGAGTCCTTCTGGGTAAGTTGTGGATCTTCGACCACCACAACAAACCCCCGGGCAGAATCCCTTACTGTAATCATTGACATCAACCTCAATCGCGAGACCAAGGTCCAATGCAATGAATGCAATCCTTCCACAAGTTACCAATGCAGCCTTTTGCGAAGGCAGCGCTGCAGCCCCGACTCTATGAGTTACAACACGGCCCTGGCTGCCTGCCAAACAGTGGGAACCTCGATGGGGGGAGGTGGGTGGTTGCGCCGCTTCAGCCCGAAGCCCCCCCCCCCCCCCCCCAACAACCCTTAAAAAGCTCCCATATTGAGGTTAGCACTGGCCCAGCATGCTTGTTGGATCGATCCTATGCCTTGGTATCCCTTCAGCAACACTCTGAAAGGTAGACATCTAAACAGCTCTTAGAAGGTTACATGGGCAGTTCGTGTGGGTCACTGCTACGATAGGGCGCCTAAAGCTGAGGGCGCCTCAAAGGGTTCAGAAATCGATGATCCTTAACCCTAGACCCTCAAATGTCAGAAAAAGCCCTCAAGCCCAGATCTATCCCATCCCCCCCGCCCCTTTCCCCTCCCCTAAAACTTTGGGTTTTTGGGACCTTTGCCAATCCAAGGGCAGCTGCTGGGCACTCTCTGCCTACCTCCTGGAGCGGATGAGGCAAGGTCCCTAAACCGTAGACCCCAAACCCTGCACCACCACCTACGTCGACACTCTCCCTCCCCCGAACATGTTTTGTCCATGGTTTTTTCCGGGTATGGTTTCCTTATAATTAACCCCGATGTGAACAAACATGTGTGATCATGTGTGCCTCTTGGACTTCGAGATTCCTCTTGAACCTGGCCACGGTGGAACGTTTTGTTGAGGCTTGTTGTTGACCGGTTCTTCTGGGCCGGTTGATGACTTAAGGCTGCGTACCTCAAACCCGAAGCTAACCTTAAACCCGAAAGCCTAAACCTTGAACCAGAACTGCCCGGCTCTAATGCCCTCAGCCCTGACAACCCCCTCGGCCCAAACAATCCCCTTCCAAGCCGCAGCCCGATCTCCGATCCGATAGGGTTCACGATTCAGGGTTGACATTCTGTCGGGTTCAGAGTTCACCAAAGTCCAAAAACAGTCGAAGGAACCTCTCCTTCAAGCTCGACGAAGCTCGACCCTCGGGTAGCCTGTGAAGCATGCTTTGTCTGTTGTTTTGTATTTAGGGTAAGAGTATCCATTTCATAGAGAGTTTGTGCTTCAAACTCAGGTTCCTGTCATGGGTTGTTTGCAGCATGACCTGCCGAGGCTGGCTGCAATGCTGCCTCCAGCTCCTATGCTGAAGGGGGCTGCTGGGAGGAGCAGAACCCTCAAACTTAGCTTCTCTAACACCTTTTCTCCCCAAAGGCAGGAGGGCAGGTCCACGATCTCATGGGGCCCAGACGAAGGTTTAGGATGGTTGAAATCTCTGGAACCCAGTGTGACTTTTTGCCCCGCATACGAGCCCAGCACTGTCAAGAAGTTCCATCGCAGGAGTCGCTTGACATGCTGGCCTACCTGAGGCATGGACGGGGAGTTTTGCGACAGCATAGAAGCTCTGCAGCCAGAACGCCTCATCCAGCCCGGGCAGCCTTTGTGAACCAACCAAATCGTGCTCGTGTATAGGCATGGCCCCATGGCCCAATGGCCCTTCTGTTCGCCATCTTCGAAGCTGTGTAGTTACGCAGGGGATCACCACACATGTCATAGCCTCGCATCCCGGAGCAGCTCAGGATTCCCCTTTTCCCCCAAGCGCCGCAAGCATTAAGCCATTAAGCCCTAGACGTACAAACTCCACGGACTCTGCGTCGCTAGGTGTTAAACTAATATACATACAAAGTCTAACAGTCAGAGTCATCGGTCCTACATAATATATGTACAAATGAAGGAGGTGGTGGTTGTTTCGTATTTGAACCATTTGTTGGTTTCATGTCCTTGTCTTGGCTTCGCAACATCAACAAGGAAGACCATTGTTTCTCTTGCTTGTCGGAGGGCGGGCGCCTGCACCCAGCACACAGATGGCACAGCGCGAGCACAGACGCCCGAAAGCCAGACCTCACACGCAGCTTGTGACGGTGGATCGACTCGAGTTCCTCGTAAATCGAGACATGATCGTTACTTCTGATGTGGTCGTTGGTGGTAGAAGTCACGAAAGCTAGCTCCTTGGAGCTCGCGAGAGTTGTCGTTTACAAGAATTCTCTCTAGTGTTCAGCTGGGTCAAGAAGCGACTCCGACCCTTAAGTGGTATGAAAATCAAAGAGATAAAGGGCTGTGGAGGGCGGGGGGGGCCCCCCCTCCCCCCCCGTATAGGATTGACAAAATCAATCTTAAGGTGTCCCCCCCCCCCCCTCCTTTCAGGGTCGCCTTAATTGATTTCTGGGGAGGGGGGGGGGGGTGCCCCCCCCCCCTATTGGCCCCCCGCCCCCGCCTCCCTTTTCAGGCTTCCCCCTGCGTCTTGGTCAGGCCCTGCGCCTGACTCGAAAAAAGCTTGCCTGTCAGCCACGTTTCAAGCTTTCGTGGCCCCGATCTCAAGTAGATTCAGAAATACAACTTCAAAGATACGTAGGAACGTACAATTAAAGGAGTGTGCACAATATAAGATATGTATATGTGCATTATGTATATATATATATATATATATATATACATATATATATATATATAATGTACATGTATATGCTCGCTTCTGGGGTTGACCATAAAAGTACGTGCACTCGGAAAAAGAAACATGACATGCCTATACATACAGGTATTCCAAGGTTGCAGATGCATGCATGTACACATAGTTGGGTTTAAGCAAACAAAGAGTCAAGAGTGCCCTATGAAGCCAAACGTGCGCGGCCGCCAGGCTGAGCCGGCTGGCACTGCAAGCCGCGTGCTCCTCAGGGTGGTTCGTGTTCGTCGTGGTCGTCGTCGTGGTCGTGATTGTGGTTGTTGTGGTTGTGGTTGTTGTGGTTGTTGTGGTTGTCGTTGTTGTCGTTGTTGTCGTTGTTGTCGTTGTTGTCGTTGTTGTCGTTGTTGTCGTTGTTGTCGTCGTTGTCGTCGTTGTCGTTGTTGTCGTTGTTGTCGTTGTTGTCGTCGTTGTCGTCGTCGTCGTCGTCGTCGTTGTTGTTGTTGTCGTTGTTGTTGTTGTTGTTGTTGTTGTTGTTGTTGTTGTTGTTGTTGTTGTTGTTGTTGTTGTTGTTGTTGTTGTTGTTGTTGTTGTTGTGGTGGCCATTTTGGCTCAAGGACCAAAGGCTCAAAGGCTCATGGGTCAGTAGGTCGTGCAGTGTGATTGCTGCTCAGCCTGCTGTTTATACCTTGCGGCCATGTGCGACCCGCTTTATTACGATTGGGCTCCAACGGAGTCAGTGGACGCAAAGGATGAAGAGAGTGACAGTGTGGAGGCAACGTGTGTCCACCGCATCGTACCTGGGCAGCTAGCAGTGCTAGGCCCCAGGGAGCGTGGGGCGGCGGAGGCAGAAGGCTACGTGGTGGCAGTGCGGGAGGCTGCGGGGGATGTCTTGGAGGACATCCTTGTGCCTCCGTGCCTCAGTGACCTGCCGCGGCTTCACTTTCCGTTCCGGGCGGCAAGCGTAGCTGCGCATGGAGCACGGTGGCCTCTCGTAGTATCACTTAGCCAAGCCCGGGCGCTGACGAGACAGGGACTTGAGGGCATCGTCAAAGAGGCCGGGCACCCAACTCATAAACAGCCAAATGCTGCAAAGCAGTGTATTTTGAGGTTGAACTACATGCTTAAGTCCTGTAATCTCTTCCCCCTAATATTAATTAATAAAAACTCCCTTGTAACAAAACCCCCAAGGGGTTTTTAGTATTTGCGGGGGTTCTTCTGGAACGTCTGCAAAAACAGCCCGTCTGCGTGACACCTTCAGGCTTCCGACCTCCTTAACTCCCCTCTGTTGGTTCGAATAGAGACGGGTACGGGATCGGGGTTTGGGGCCAGGGGTTATTTAATACTGGGGGTGATTTTTTTTTATTCGGGGGAAGCGATTAACTTGCCCAGTGGAAGCTGCTAACTTAGGACAACGGCAAACAATGACGTCAATAAGCCATGGCAAACAACCCAGAGGGCACGATTCTCGCCATCGAGAATGCCCCTGGCACCTATACTGGCACGACTACAGGCCAGGCAACAGCGACTCAGGCACTCACCAAGGCATCGGCGCCACCGCCCTCAACATTCTCTTGTGGTGCCGGCTGCGACCAATGCCATAGCGCCAGGTGCACTCGTCAGAAGCAAGGGCATCTGTGGCATTGCTGCTTTGGGTGCAGGGACGCCTGGGCGGTCCAACAGGCCCGCTCCAGGTATTGGTAGCGGACCCAAACTGAGAGCTCGGCTACAATTTTGAACCAGCGTGTGAGGTCCCCTCCTGCTGGCAGGACGCACCGGCTTGTACAATCTCTATGTCGCCCGACGCTGAGTGCCAAGCTCGAGCCTACAGAAACAAATAAGATCTGCACTCATGAGCCCTTGCAATCAAGCACGGCCGCACATCTCCCTCTATTCCGCACTGGTCTGTCTTTTGTTCAGGTGAACTCCAGGAAGTGCCGAGAGGTCAGACAGCAGCCACCTGCCCCTCATTTAGTCTAATTTTAAAATTTCTCAGCTGTAGTGCAGATGATACCAGCTCGCACCAGCAATGCATCCACACCGATCAGCAGAACTGGGCTCAAAGCCGAGCAAGCCAGCACAGCTGGCACCATGCCTCCGAAGAAGAGACCTTCGAAAACCTCTACCCTTCCGGCCTTCGACCTGGCTTCCAACATATGCACGGAAGCCGACAGACTCCTCCCCTCGAACTATGTCCCTATCTCTCACAAGCGCATGGACGAGATCAGAAACTACAGATAAGAAAAAGGTCTCAGAGCGATTTTCAAGAGCATGATGGCAAGACAGTCCAGCCGACCGGTCTCCTCCCAGCGCAAGCCCGACAAGGAAAGCAAGAGACTGGAGGCACTTGGTATCAAGAAGCCAGGCCTCACAGCAGACGACCTGGCCACTCTCCCCACTGTCGATGTCTACAAGCATCTCTCGTCACTCTCCCTGATATCAGTCGACGCCTCCCAGTCTGCCCACTCAAGCGTGAGGTCTCCTCCGAGGAGTGGGCAGCCGAGCACAGAAGCGGCATCTTCGTCCGCACCTGCTGCTTCCATCCTGGCCGAGAATGCCACGGAAGCCAATCGGCCTATGGGCACAAGTCGCAGCCATATGCGGGAGAAGGAGTGGGAAGGCTGGAAACCTGCAAGGAAGACTCTGACTCGGATGCCCCGTCGTGGGCGACCAGTAAGAAGCCAAGATCTTCAGAGTACACGGGCAATGGAGTTGGACTCAAGGAGAGCTTTATCAGGCATCCTCCACCCCCCCCCTCTCCTCCTACCAGAAGGCCGACCACACTTCCGGCCAATGCTGACGACGATGCCCGAATGCCTCCTACGCATGACCTTCAGGTTATCAATCTCACCAAGGCAGCTCCTCCGCCAATTGAGTTTCTGGGCTATCCGGTACATCAAGGAGTGATTGTTCTTCCTCCTGAAACGGTCAACGCTAGAACAGCCACCAAGAAGGAACAGGACAAGGGCAAGAGGATCATTCACTCATTTCCCTTCTCGTACCCAGCAGAATTTCCGCTGGAGCTGCAAGTTCACGTACAAGTACAGAAACCTGACGCAGAGCCGGTGGAGATGACATTGAAACTGAACCGCACGGCATCCATGAAAGGCGTCACTAGGGCCGTCTACAATTTCAAGGGCGGCGAGTTACTCAGTGTTCAAATTCGCGGTGGTGGCTCCACCTGAAGAGGGAGCACAAGATGGCCTTCAAGCTCATGAGGCTGAACTTGACCTTGCTCGTCTCTTCCCGGAGATGGTGCCCAAAATGGCGAATCTATTCGCAATTCAAATTCGAGTTGCCTCAGCGGTCAATCCACAGGACTTCCCCATCTCCCCTACGCCGAGTGAGGTCGCCTCCTGGCGGGGAAATGCAGGTCCTCCACATTTCTGCTGTTTCAGCAGGAATACGGCATCATGGTGGAGGAAGTCCAACCCCTTGACAACCTACCCTCATATCTACGGCCAAACATGGATGAGTGCTACCTGCTCATACTGCTGGTACTGAAAGCAGCCCTCTTGGGCTACTATGTTCGTGACTGCGGCTGGGCGAATCTAGGTCGCAGGATCTCACCAGAGTCAAGCATCGATGCCTGACACCCAGATCAGAAGTGCATCAGCCAGCTCATATGGTCATGGATGCAGTCAGCAGGCCGCTAAAGTCGCATTCATTCCAGTTTGAGCTCAAGCCGAGTGAGGTCTCCTCCTGGCAGGACTCCAGGAAATATTAAATTCAGTTCAGCCGAGAGCCATGGATCTCGCTGCCCCCTACTTCAGATTGCGAGGTCCTCCTCACAGCCTCTGTGTGGAGCGCAACGGACTCTTCAGAATGCAGGATCCGGAACCACAATGTCGTTTTCTCCCGTCCATCACCGACGATAAGGCCATGGACGACATCCACGCGCAAGTACAGCAAGCCTACTACAACCGGGCTCAATGAACGACGCAGGATCACAGACTTGATGCAGAATGGAGTGCTCTCATGACAACCTACCCCGTCCACCCCTTCCCTCGCTCAGTCGCCCACTGGCCGGCCTGGGATTCCACAGTAGTATTCAGGGACGAATACTGCACAGTTCTACTTGGAACCCAACGCACAGCCCTCGACATTCCGGAGCTGAGTGCACACAGAGTAGATATAGTGGTGACGCTCAATGCCTATTCTACTTTCAAGGAGAGCTGCGGCTCAGACGCAGACTGGAGAATCATGTACCAAGCAGAGGGCATATCCAATCTCCGCTACGGCCTCTCAGACATGAGGATCTCCCGCAATGATCAAGGCTTTCACGACATAGTAGCAGGCTTAGCCAGACAGTGGATCAAAATGATAGAAGACATCGAAGTACAGGAGTGCAGCCGCACTCGCCCTATCGTGATCCTGTTTCACTGCTTTGCGGGAATAAATAGGTCAACCTCAGCCCTCTGCGCTTTCTTGATTGTTCGATACCATCTAACGGCCCAGAAAGCGATAGCAATTTTGCTCTCGGCCCGGCCAGGCCAGCGCTATTGGCAGGACAGAGACCAGTTCCCCCTAGCACTTCACTGGCTTTCAAGAGAATGCAAGAAGTCAGTCTTGGCATGGCCTGCGGAGATTCCTTCAGAGCAAATCCTGAAGAAAATCCCCCTGACATGGATGAATCTGAAGAGTGAGGTCCCCTCCTGTCAGAATTGAACTCCAAGCGGCCAGGACAGAAACAAAGGACATAAAACCATCGGTCATTGCCGCTTAGCTTGCCTATGTCAAGAACAAACCCGTCGATCGTATACCGCAATCCGATCCCAACCGCTGAGGTCACCACGAATCCGTCGAGCATCTGCAAGACTGTGCCACACAGCCTCGATACAAGCGTGTCATGACTTGCTACGAGCCCTGAGTTTGCCCAAGCAGACCTTTCTTACTCTGCTCCTGACAGCCCACACCAGACAGGGCCCTAGCTCCCCGAGAACGAGTGAGGTCTCCTCCTGTTCGAACTCAACCTCGCAGATCATGTCGGCTGAGGATCGTGCGAATGCGCCCTCCCAAGATGGAGCCAGAGAGGACAAGGCCTCAAAAAGACGACACTCACACGGCACACGCCGGACGGACGCAGCCGAAGAACGAGCTCTCACTGACGCAGACCTTGACTCGGATGCATCCTCGCTCAGGGATGAAGATGATCCAGTAGAGTCTATTTCCAGGAACTCGTCAGGAAGAGCATCCAGAAATCCAGCTGGACCTCTCCAGGTGGCCCGCCGCCTCCGACCCCGGTCACGACAAAGGCAATCT